TCCGGAGGTTGGTGGGGTGGTACGTGAGGACGAGGGGGATTCTTTTTCGGTTCTTATTGCGTGGACGCGGTGTGAGGGATGAGGTGCACGAGATGTGGGAGACACGGTGAGGGTGTTAACTGAGTAGGGCCAGCACAATAGGCCGAATGGACTTCTCCCAAACTGTGTCATTCTGTAAAGTAAATGGCTCGGTACTGTTTCACTACCCCACCTGTTGCAGCTCCTTCTCGATCTCTCCCGCTTTAATGACGATAGGTCCCCGCACTGCGTACTCAGTGGCGCGGACCTGCGGGTTCATGTTAGCGATGCTGAGGACCCTGTCGCCATTCCTAGAGTGGTCCCGGAGAAGCGAGGCCGCCCCCTCCGTGATTAGGCTGGCAGCGGAGCCCTGGGCGCCGGCCAGACCCTCTCCACGGTCCGCGAACCACCAGCTCACCGGCAGCCTGGCCCAACACCGAGCGCTCCGGCCCGTCACCACTGCCCGCCTCGCCGGCGCAACCAGTGCGTACATTGCTGCGACTGCGGCCTCAGTCACTTCACTTCACTTCAGAACGGCTCCAGTGGAGCGGCATCGCCTTTCAAATCCACATCATTGTCAAATGTAGGTGCGTTTGTGTAGGGCACGCTGGGAATTGTAGTCCCAGAAAGGACACGTCACCTACGAAACTAGAACTCCCAGCAGGCCATCTGGCAATGACGCACGCGCACTCCCACCAACGAAGTCCAACGAATGCAGCCTCGAGCACTTAGTGGACCATTCAAAAATTCTTCATAATAACGTGACAAAGGCGCTGAGTTGAAGATTTTGTGTTAGAGCGATAGCGTCCAAACCTCTGAGCTGGGAGGTCAGGGTTCAACACCCGTCTGTGTTATTATCTTTTTTTCTTTATTCATTCATGGGATGAGGGCGTCGCTGGCCAGGCAACATTTAATGCCCATCCCAAATTGCCCAGAGGGCAGTTCAGAGTCGACCACGGTGGGTCTGAAGTCACATGTAAGCCAGACCAGGTAAGGATGGTAGTTCCTTCCCTAAAGGACATTAGTAAACCAGATGGGTTTTTCCTGACAATCAGCGATGGATTCACGGTCATTATTAGATTCTTAATTCCAGATTGTGGAATGATCATAGAATCCCTACAATGTGGAAACAGGCCATTCGGCCCAATGAGTTTACACCGTCCCTCCGAAGAGCATCCCACCCCAACTCAATCCCGTACCCCTGCATTTCCCCATGTCTAACCCACCTAACCTAAACATCCCTGGATACTACAGGCAATTTAGCATGCCAATCCACCTACTCTACACATATTTGGACTGTGGGAAGAAACCGGAGTACCTGGAGGAGACCCATGCAGACACGGGGAGAATGTGCAAACTCTACACGGTCAGTCACCCAAGAGTGGAATTGAACCTGGGTCCCTGGCACTGTATTTTATCGAATTCAAATTCCACCATCTGCCATGGCAGAATTCAAACCCATGTCCCCAGAACATTTCCTGAGTCTCTGGATTATCAATCCAGTGATAATACCACTAGGCCATTGCCTCCCCAATTATCTCCCAGAAGGGGAGAGAAACAGATTAACGATTGAGACATATGGTCCAACAGATCTTGAGTACTTTATAATGGGTGCCCGCTATGACCAATGTATCAATTTCTAAATATTATTTGGTTTGTTTCACTGGGCTTTGGACAGTTTGACTAGAAAGTGTGTGTAAAGTACTTGAGCAGGTCCCTTGTGGCACAGCTCTGAGCCAGAACATTGCCAGAACTTGTAGTGCCTCCACCTCTGAGCTAGGAGGCCCAAGTTCAAGTCCTATCTACTCCACAATCATGTTTCAACATGTCTGTCTGGTTGATTTTAACAATATTTATAAAATCATTGGCAATGTCCGAGGTGAATCATGAGCGTCTATCTCAATCCACAACAAAGTTATAATGTGTGTGAATTCATTCAAGGTGATGCAGAAAAGATTCAGGAGAATGCTTCCAGGAATGAGGAATATCAGTTAGGCTGACAGGTTTGCGAAGTTGGTTGACAGAAGTATTCAAAATCAGGAGGGTTCTTGGCCATGGCTCTTAAACAGAGGGAGAAACTGGTCTCCTCCGTGGTGGAAAGATTGTGCACCAGAGGGCATAGATTTAATATAATTGACAAAAAGGAAATAGTAACTTGAGGGAAACCTTTTCTCATGCCAAGAGTAGTTAGGAATTGGAAAGCACTGTGTGTATATTACCATCTTCTAATGGCATCAGAAAGTGTCTTCACCCACCCCAGGCCAGACAAGGTGGCTTCCAATGGTCTGGAATGGCAGTATAGGCCTGGTGCCTGGTGGGCCAGTCTCCCAGTGTGGCGGTCTCCTGATGGGGGATTCTTAGCCTGAATTGGCTTTCTTGTCCTGGCATGGAGGTCTGATACGGCGGCTTTCAGGTACTCCAGCAGCCCAGCATGAAGTCCTGCCCCGGAGATTTCATCTTCACATGGAGGTCTCGTCCTTGCTTCAGAGGCGGCTTCTGAGTCTTCTAAAAGCCCAGCTTGGAGATATAGTCCGGCGTGGCTGTCTTGACCCAGTGTTCCAGCATACCCCCAAATCCAGGAGTCATTAAGTGAACCGTGATGAACTTTTACTTTTTTCTCTTAATAACAACTTCTTCATTAATTCAGGTGCTATGGTGTGGTGACTTATAAAACGTGTCACTGTATTTTTTTTGTAAAAGTACACATGACATAAATTGCTATTCTATTCTATTCTATTCTATGCAGGACCAATTGAGACAGGCAAAAGCTACGTGGATCATTATCTCAAAAGGAAGAAGTTGCTGAGAATAGGCAGGGGGATGACATTAGGTGAATTGCTCCTTCAGAGATGGGCGTTTGAGTAGATTGTACCTGTAGTTGTTGGAATATAGATGAATGAGAAGCAATCTTATTGAAACATACAAGATTCTTAAGGTCTTGACAGTGTAGATTTGAAAAGGTTTCTCCTTGTGGGAGAGCCTAGGACCAGAAGGCATAATCTCAGAACAAGGAGTCACACATTTAAAACAGATGAGGGGGGATTTCTTCTTACAGAATAAATCTTTTGAATTCTTTACCTCAGTGGCCTGCTGAGCGTGTGTTGTTAAGAATATTCAAGGCCAAGATAGGCAGATTTTTAATCAGTAAAGGAATCAAGCATTATGGGGAAAGGCAATAAAGTGGTGCTGATGATGATCATATCAACCACAATCTTATTAAATAACAGAGCAGACTCAATGGGCTGAATGGCCTATTTCTATTCTGGTGTTTTATATCTTATGGTAAATGGTTTCCTCCTGTACTGTAATCATTCATGGTTTGATTATTCTAATTTATGCCTACAATACCATACAAATCAATGAAGTAATAGCTTTAGAAATAACAAAAATTATGATGAAACATTTCACTGAATATACTGACATTTGCAAATTGTTACTTTTAATCAGTTATCTATATAAAATAGAACAGTGATTATAGAAAAGCATAACACTACTGCAAAGTTCCAACACTTTCTGTTTCTTTTTCAGAACATTGTACATTCTGGCAATCAGTAAAAAACGAAGAAATACAGGAAATACTTAGCAGGTCACATAGTGTTTGTAGAGAGAAAAATAATATTAACAATTCAGGTTGACCTTTAATCAGAAACCAATTTTAAGCAAATACAGAAGCTGAGAAATGGGTTAATAACAAAAGGGAAGGTTTGTGATAGCTGGAAGGCAGGAGAGATTAAATGACAAAAGGAATAATGGTGCAAGGCGAAAGGAGGTGTAAATGGGATATATAAAGAATTAAAAATGGATCTGGAGGAGATGCAAACAGCAACAATAGAATCCTTATCAAGAAGTGCTGTATGACAAAGTGGGATGACCATAATTTAAAGTTGTTGATCTGACGTATGCAGAACAAAATGTGTCTATTTTTCTGCAAACTCATAATCTTAAATTGTTAATTTAAAAGTATGTAAAGTACCTAATCGAAAAGGAATTGTTGCTCCTTGAGTTTCCATTGATTTTCAATGGAACAATGCAGAAACTTGAGAAAGATGGGTTGGAGAAAAGGTTGGAGAATTAAGGTGACAGTCACCCAGAGGCTTAGAGATGAAACAAAGGTTCCACAAAGCAATTTCCTTGATTCCAAGATGGTTGCAGGGTGGCAGAGCTGCGTGCAGGCTCTTGCCTGGTGCTCATCTGCTTTCTTTCTTTTCTTTTTACTTCTGTTCTTTCTCTTTCTTTTTTTCTTTCATTTTTCTTTTCTTTGGTGGGTTAATTGGCGGCATCAGTGCGGCAGTGAGAGCGGGCCATGCGTGGATTGGCAGCAGCCTCCTGGCGGTCGGAAATGGATATGGCACTTCCTGGCAATTGGAGGTGGTGGCAGAAGCAGCCTGGACGTCCTCCCAGCGGAGACAGCAAAGCTCTTGCAGCCATCAGAGGCAGCGGTGGCAAGAGCAGCAGAGTCTTCGAGATGGCGGTGACAGCAAGACAATGTCTCGGAGGAGGGCGGCTGGAGTGGGACCTTGGTGCTGTGGTGGCCTGGCTTGGCCTGGCAGCAGAGCCAGGGACTCCTGGTTGTAGTTGGGCAAGAGTGGGGGCTCCTGGCATTGGAGGTGGTGGCTGCAGTGGCAACGGGGTGGTGTGCCCAGAGCAGGACTCCTGGCATCTTCGAGGCGGCAGCAGAGCTAGGGACTCCTGATTGAAGTCACAGTAGGTCGAGAGCGCAGACTCCTGGTTACCAGCGAAGCGATGGTGGCAGCTGGTAGCAGGGCGCGTGTGGGTCCACCATGGGACTCAGTGATACTGTCAGTGAGATAGGCCAAGTGGCAAAGAGCTGGCGCCTAAAGAGCGGAGACTCCTACGATGGTGGGTCCAGAGCCGACGGCGGTGGAGGAGGGGTGGTGGCGCAGGTGTCATGTCGCTGGTGGGCTGACTGAAGACTCGTGGTGGAGGCAGCAGAGCGAAGATAGACTCTCTGTTATATCTTTTTATCCTTAAACTATCCAAATGGCGCCAGATTGTGGCAACAGTTCAAGCTTTTCACTGTATTTTACTGTATTATTCACTGTAAAATGCAAGTGACAATAAATCATTCAAATTCAATAAGCTACATTGGCTCTCCATAATGCAGAGCAAACAGGGGAGAGGAAAACACAAGTTATATGATACAATGTTAAAGACACACAGAAACAATGAAACAAAAACAAAAATTGCTAGTGAAACTCAGTGGGTCTGGCAGCATTTGCGGGAAGAAAGCAGACTTAACATTTTAAACCTGGTGACTGTTAACCTGGGATTAAAAGAACATAAATGAGTGAAGATGGCAGGACAAGCTGTGAAGGCTGATTTTAAAAAAATCACATTGGATTTTTAGGTTTATTATTGGAAGCATTAAGCAAGAAATGAGGAAATTATGCAAAACAGGTTTGAGCATGCAGAGTTTGAATCTTGGCAATACATTTTTGGAAATATGCCAAGAGGGTGGAGGAGAGATTTACTGGTGTGGGGACTTCAGTTATGTGGAGAGATTAGAGTTGTTTTTGTTGGAATAAAGGGCCTGATCCTGTGCTAAACTGCACTATGTTCTATGTTAATAAGGAAGTTTAGCAGGTTTTTATATTATTGTTCAAAATTAGGAACAGGTTGTTCGGTAAATAAGAAGAATCTATTTTCACAGCCAGACTTAAACAAACTTAAGTTTCTGAAGAAGTCACACTGGACATGAAACATTAACTCTGTTTCTCTCTCTACAGATGCTGCCAGACTTGCTGAGTTTCTCCAGTATTCTAACAGGAGGCTGGAAAACCACAGCAAGCCAGGCAGCATCTGGAGGAGGAGAAGTCAACGTTTCGGGTATTACACTTGTTCAGGAGTCCTGGCTTGCTGTGTTTTTCCAGCTTCCTGTTTGTCTACCGTGGATTCCAGCATCTGCAGTTTTTTGTCTCTAACCTTCTCCAGTATTCTCTCTACTTGTAACAAATTTAAGCACCTGGATTTTTACTTTATATCACAACAGTCATTTCAAAGACAAAGCATTGAATAGCTGCTATATTATGAAACAGCTTATGATAGAAGTGTTTCTTTTTAGTTAGTGCCCTCTATTGTTCACTATCAACATAGCAACGAAAAAATAAGAATACAATAGAGTTTATAAAAACTATAGCGCATTTGTTGCTACCACAATTGCAAGGGTGACTCTCACTGCCCATACAGTAGCAGTACCTGAGACGTCACTACCAGCAGCGCTGCAGCAAGGTGGCTGCATCAAAGAATAGGAGCAATACCATCAGTGTTTATTAAATATTTTACATTAATTCAAATCTTGGCATTGCTATTTGCTCATTGCCCCACTCCAAGTACTATTTGCCCCGCATACAATCCCTCACTGCCTCCCCGCTCAGTGCCAGTTTCCAGCTCAAGGTGCATATTATGTCAGCAGCACCAACTTTCTCCGTCAGTGCAGTGGCAGAAGATACTCTGTTTCTTTTAAGTTAATTAATTGTCACATTTCAGAAGCTGATCAGTTTTGAATGGAACAAATTACTGGAAAAATTACTTTAAATGTATTTTTAAAGCATAGCATATTATTGCAAGAATGAAAAGGTTGTCTGATCTGGTTTTGTCACTGCCATCTTCTGAGACACCACGCTGATTGGGTAGTTTCGTTACCACCAGAACATAGACCACTGTCAAAGTACGCGAAGTTCCCCAATTTACTTGACTTCCAGACACAGATTAGTAGATAATGCAGACCAAGTTTCAGTACTGAACAAGAGTTACTATTCATTACAAGTAATTAGACTCTAACTATAGGTAAACAGTTATAAACTGCTGTCATATAATGCTATTAATTAAAACTCTAATCCCTTTATAAACTCCCCTTACACACATAAACACACACAAACAAATAGTAAAATAGGTTATGGACAGAGGGAAGAAGTGGAAAGACAGTTCAATAGTCTTTGTTCTCAGGTTCTGTTGTTGAGATGATCTTTATGACTGTTGTAAAAAATCTGAAAGAACTGTAGATCCTGGAAATCCGAAACAAAAACAGAAATTGCTGGACAAACTCAGAACTAGTTCTGAACAAGGGTCACTGGACTTGAAACATTAACTCTGCTTTCTCTCCAGAGATGCTGCCAGATCTGTTGAGTTTTTCCAGCAATTTCTGTTTTTGTGTATAGACCACCATCTTTTTCCAGATACTTCCACTGGTTGCTAAGAAACACAAGGTGGCTGGTTCTTATAAAAAGGCTCTGACTTATCAGTTAAAAGTTACAGCTTGCAACAGCTGTTGGAGGAAAGATAAACTGGTTCTTCAGTTTTACGGTGAGTTTAAAACGGCTGAACCACACTTCAGCTAGGGAAGAACTTTTTAAAAATTCATTCACAGGATCAAGGTGTCACTGGCTCAGCCAGTATCTATTGCCCATCCCTAACTGAGAGGGAAGAGTTAGCCACATTGCTGCGGGTCTGGAGTTACATGCAGGCCAGACCAATTAAGGATGGCACATAAACCACAAGAACTGCGGATGCTGTAAATCAGGAACAAAAACAAAGCAGCTGGAAAAGCTCAGCAGGTCTGGCAGCATCTGTGAAGGAAAAAACAGAGTTAACGTTTTGGGAAACTGTTTTTTCCTTCACAGATGCTGCCAAACCTGCTGAGCTTTTCATAAGAACATAAGAACTAGGAGCAGGAGTAGGCCATCTGGCCCCTCGAGCCTGCCCCGCCATTTAATAAGATCATGGCTGATCTTTTTGAGACTCAGCTCCACTTACCCGCCCACTTACCATAACCCTTAATTCCTTTACTGTTCAAAAATTTATCGAGCCTTGCCTTAAAAATAGTCAGCGAGGTAGCTTCAACCACTTCACTGGGCAGGGAATTCCACAGATTCACAACCCTTTGGGTGAAGAGGTTCCTCCTGACATCAATCCTACATCTGCTTCCCTTTATTTTGAGGCGATGCCCTCTAGTCCTAGTTTCACCTGCAAGCGGAAACAACCTCCCTGCCTCCACCTTATTTATTCCCTTCATAATCCTATATGTTTCTATAAGATCTCCCCTCATTCTTCTGAATTCCAATGAGTATAATCCCAGTCTACTCAGTCTGTCCTCATAATCCAACCCCCTCAACTCTGGAATCAACCGAATGAATCTCCTCTGCACCCCCTCCAGTACCAGTGTATCTCTTCTCAAGTAAGGAGACCAAAACTGCACACAGTACTCCAGGTGTGGCCTCACCAGGACCCTATACAGCTGCAGCATAGCCTCCCTGTTTTTAAACTCCATCCCTCGAGCAATGGCAGACAAAATTCCATTTGCCTTTTTAATTACCTGCTGCACCTGCAATCCTACTTTTAGCGATTCATGCACAAGGACACCCAAGTCCCTCTGCACAGCAGCGTGCTGCAATTTTTTTACCATTTAAAACATAGTCCATTTTGCTGTTATTCCTACCAAAATGGATGACCTCACACTTATCAACATTGTACTCCATCTGCCAGACCTTTGCCCACTTACTTAGACTATCTATATCCCTCTGCAGACTTTGCTCTACCACTCACCTTAGTGTCATCTGCAAATTTTGACACACCACACTTAGTCCCCAACTCCAAACCATCTGTGTAAATTGTAAACAATTGCGGTCCCAACACTGATCCCTGAGGCACACCACTAGTTACTGACCGCCAACCAGAAAAACACCCATTTACCCCTACTCTTTGCTTTCTACTGGTCAACCAATCCTCTATCCATGCCAATACATTACCTGTAATAGCATTCACCTTTGTCTTATGTAGCAGCCTTTGGTGTGGCACCTTGTCAAATGCCTTCTGGAAATCCAGATACACCACATCCACAGGTTCCCCATTGTCCACCATGCAAGTAATGTCCTCAAAGAATTCCACCAAATTAGTTAAACATGACCTACCCTTCATGAAGCCATGCTGGGTGTTCCCAATGGGACAATTTATATCCAAATGTCTTGCTATTTTCTTCCTTAATGATAGCAACTTCATTTTTGTTCCTAATTAAGGATGGCAGTTTCCTCTTGGAAAGGGCATTAGTGAACCAGATGGAATTTTCCTGACAATTCACATTATTAGACTGTTAATTCCAGATTTTTTTTTGCTTGAATTCAAATTCCACTGTTTGCTGTGGCAGGATTTGAACCCAGGTTCTCAGAACATTACCTGGATCTCTGGATTATTGGTCCAGCGATGATACCACTAGGCCACCATCTCCTCCCTCTCTTGTGCTGTCTTCTTAACTTAATAAGACCATAGAAATATAAAACAGGAATAGGCTATTCAGCTCATTGAGTCTGCTCCACCATTCAATAGGATCATGGCTGATCCCGACATTCCTAATGTCCACTTTCTAGCCCTTTCCCCAAAACCCTTAATTACCCTCATGATGATGAATCTGTCTACTTCCCTACTCTTACACTCTAACCCCCTTGAGCCAAAAAGGGCCAACATTCCATTCGCCTTTCTGATTACCTCCTGTACCTGAGGGCTAGCTCTCTGTGCTTTGTGCACAAGCACACTGCTCCCTCCCCACACCAAGTCCCTTTGTGTTGCAGCTTTCTGATTTTTCTCCATTTAAATAATACCCTGTTCTTTTGTTCTTCCTTCCAAAATGAAAATCTTCACATTTCCCCACATTATTCATCTTTTGCCAAATTTTTGCCCACTTACTTAACCTACACATATCTCTCTGTAAACTGTATCCCTCTCAACTTGCCTTTCCACCTATTTTTGTTTTGTCTGCAAATTTGGGTACATTTGCTTCTTTCTTCAAGCCATTAATACTTATTGTAAACAATTGCAGACCCAGCATTGATCACTGTGGAATCTCACTAGTTACAGGTTGCTAATCTGAAAAAGAACCCTCTATCCCCACTCACTGTTTCCTGCCCATGAGCCAGTTCGCTATCTATGCCACAATGTTATCTCCAACACCTTGGGCCCTTAGCTTATGAGCTAACGTTTTCTGAAGTACCTTGTGGAATCCCATTTTAGAAGTCCAAATACACCATATCCACTGGTCCCCCTCTATCCATTCTGGTTGAGATTTCTTTGAAAAACTACAATAAATTAGTCAAACATGATTTCCATTTTGTGAAGCCATGCTGACTCTGCTTGATTAGATTATGATTTTCAAAATGTTCCCAGTGGGACGATACTATGGCTTTAAGAGGTGCATTTTGTCCTGGTTTTGTTTTGAAGAGCAGCTTTAAGACAGAGGTGATGAGCTCTCTCTTTGAATCCAATAAAGTAAACAGCTTGTGAGGCCTTGGTGTTTTAACAATAGATGCAGCCTGAATGGGTGGGGTCAAGCTGACCAACAGCCAGGATTTTTAATTTTAGTTTTTCAATGGCATTTGCTGGGGTCCTGAAGCTGGGTTTGGAAGCTGCAGTACATCTCTACCTGTTACTCTCTCTCTGAGTTTTTTCTTGATGCTTTTCTCCCTGGACTGGAGAATTGCCTGTGAGACAATCTATTTGACTGAATTTGCCTTTGCCAAGGGTGTGTTTATGGGGTGTTACTATACTGGAACAGTTACTGTTTAGTCATTAAATAATCTATTATTCTGTTAACTTCTCCAGTAGAGTTAAGTTATTCCAATTTCTTCTTTCTTTTGTTATATATTAACTATAGTGTATGAATAAAATGTGTTTTGCTTCAAATCTGGTAGTTTGACCAATCAAATTGCATCAGGGACACAACACAATGCCTGGCAATTGCCTTTAAAATAAGCAAAAGTTAGGGTCTAGGTTATCTTCTTAATATATTTTGAGGGGGTTTGGTCTGGTCCATAACACCAACTTCAAGCTGTTCTGTTGCCCAAGAACCAATCACACAGTTGTTGGCATGCAAAAACGTCTCTATCATTGATAACTAGTCACAAGCCCATAGACCAATCAACTTAATGCCAATAAAAGCTGCATCTGTACACCCATCGTCTTCAAACTGTCTGCAAATCAAACTTCAATTACTGCTTGTTCAAACAACTGTAATGATGCTTGCCATGGTATCTGGTTACTTGCTTTTCAAAATTGCAGCCACTCTTTCAAACACTGGTTTTAAAACAGCTTTTCCTCATCTCAGTCCACAGTTTTTAAAAACACAAAATAAAATGACACAGTCCTTACATAACTGTATGACAGGATCCCCTATCTCCTTTTCTTGCAGGGCTCTCAGATATTATTTGTGAACCATTGCTTGTTGGAGTCATACAGCACAGAAACAGACCCTTTGGTCCAACTTGCCTGTGTGGACCAGACATCCCAATTTGACCTAGTCCCATTTGCCAGCATTTCACCCATATCCCTCTCAACCCCTCCTATTCATATAATCATCCAGCCTTTTAAATGTTGTAATTGTACCAGCCTCCACCATTTCCTCTGGCAGCTTGTTCCATACATGCACCACCCTCTGCGTGAAAAAGTTGTCCCTTGGATCATTTTTAAATCTTCCCCTTTCACCTTAAACCTATATCCTCCAGTTTTGGACTCCCCCATCCTATGAAAAGGACCTTGGCTATTCGTCCTATCCATGCTCCTCATGATTTTATAAACCTCGACAAGGTTGCCCCTCAACCTCTGACACTCCATGGAAAACACAGCCAGCCTGTTCAGCCTCTCCCTATAACTCAAACCCTCCAGTCCCAACAACATCCTTGTAAATATTTTCTACACCTCTCAAGTTTAACAACATCTTTCCTATAGAAGGGCGATCAGAATTATATGCACCTTTCTAAAAATGGCCTCACCAATGATGTCCCAATTCCTATACTCAATATTCTGACCAATGAAGGCAAGCATGCCAAATGCCTTCTTCACCACCCTGTCTATCTGCAACTCCACTTTCAAGGAACTATGCACCTGCACTCCTTGATCTCTTTGTACAGCAACACTCCCCAGGGCCCTACCATTAATTGTACATCCTGTTCTGTTTGCCGTACCAAAATGTAACACCTTACATTTATCTAAATTAAACACATTGCCCCATCTGATCAAGGTCTGATTGTACTCTACGATAATCTTCTTTGCTGTCAACTACATTACCTAGTTTGGTGTCATCTGCAGACTTACTAACCATACTGCCTATATTCACATCCAAATCATTTATATAAACAATGAAAAGCAGTGGACCCAGCAATGATCCATGTGGCTCACCACTGGTCACAGGCCTCCAGTCCAAAATGCAACCCTCCACCCACCACCACCACCCTCTGTCTCCTACCTTCAAGCCAATTTTGTATCCAATTGGATAGCTGCCCCAGATCCCATGTGATCTAATCTTAATAATCAGTCTACCATGCAGAACCCTGTCTAACGTTTTGCCGAAGTCCACATAAGACGTTGTGGTCAAAGGTTATTTTTGCGTACATTTCTCCATGAGGATCAGGTGGGCATGATACAGTCCAACTGTATATAGCATCCAAAGTTATGTAGCCACACCCATCCTACACTGGGTTTTTCAAGGACTGTCAATCTTACACATATACAAATCTGAGTGGAGGAAGAGGGGTTGGTTCCCGGAGAACGAGATGGTTTCGTTCCTACTGGTGAAGGCAGATCATGTCCAGAGCGGGTTTAGTGGAGTCGTTTTGGGTCCACAACAGGAGGGTCAGTTCCTGGAAGAGGTAAAAGGGAGTCAGCTTCTGGTGCGAAATGGGATGATGCCAGGAGGGATGAAGGATTGTCATGTCCAGAATGGGTAAAGGGGAGCGAGGTCATGTCAGGAGTGGGAGGAGGAGGAGGATCGGGCCTGGGCGGGGGGCGAAGAGAAGTCGGCTCCCAGAGGAAAAGTGGGGTTGGATGCAGAGCAGGTGGAGTGTTTGGGTCTGGAGTGAAAGGAAGAGGATCAGGCCTTGAGGGGAGAAGGGAATTGGCACGTGATGATGGGTCAGGTGTGAAATGGGTGGATGGGAGGGTCTGAAGTGGGTGAAGGGGTAGGTAGTTGGGTCCAAGACAGGTGAAGGGGGATAGATATATAAGCTGTTAGACCTGGCATGGGCTGAATGGGGTCAGGCTCTGGAGGGTGAAAGAGGATTAGGACAGGAGGGGGTGAATTGGAATCGGGTCACGTCAGGAATAGGTGAAAGGGGTGGTCAGGTCCTAAGAGATTGGAGGGGGTCAGGTTTAGAATGGGGGAAAGGGTATTGGGTCTCGAGTGGGGGATGAGTGTGGTGTAAGTGGCCCAGGGGAGATGGCAGCTGGGAATTATGAAGTAAGTAGAAGGAGAATTGAATCATTACTCAGGAGTTAGGCAATGTATTTAGCTTTTCCTGATAACTACATATTTTCATCTGTACCCTCTCAATTCTTTGATTTGAATGGAGACTTTCAGAGGATTCCAGGCCTTGGGGAATTGCCCATTCGAATCTTGAAGTTCCCGGGCAATTACCTCAAAGTTTGCTATGACAGGGATTCTGCAGGGTCCTACATGCAACCCCCATATATGTGGAAAAACAACTGACAGGCCATCGCAAAATTTGGGCATTTGTGTTTCTGTACCAAAGGTCTACTCAGAGTTTGGGGCAGCCTCACACAAAAGTGGCTGTCAGAATAAGAGCAATGTTGGGTTTTTTTACTTTTGTCTAGAGATTTGTACATTGTGTCCCATCCAGACAAAGCAAAAGAAAGTTTGGATGATCATTACAGTGCAGGAGTGAGGAAAGGGCCATGTACTGTAACACTGAGAATATTTCATATCTGATGACTAATTCTTACCTGCAATGGAAAGAGAACATTACTATATTCATGAGTGTAAAGAGGTACCATTCAGCTCATCTCTGGCAAAAGCAACTTTCTGAGAAAACAAACGTAGCCATAGTTAGCACCGTTAAAATTAGAATATGATGCACACTTACAAGATAGTTTTAATCAAACACACTTATTATCTTCAAGTAGTGATGTGACTGTCTGCACAGAAAAGTGTGTGCGCTGTTGTTCGGCTCTTAAAAGGTCCCAAAATTATTATGGCATTTATTCTGGGCAACTTTGCCCCAGAAAGAGGCATAGTCATGGAGTATGTAACAATAATCTTAATCTTTATTATACCAAAACAATTATCACAATACTTTGGAGTATCAGTCAACATACGTTTTATTTAGTTCTACCAGTACTTCCTTATAGCCCCTGCTGTTAGTAAAATGCATGATATGTGCCTTCGAACTCTGAACCATGTGCTCTTTCTAAGTGCTTCCTCGCGTGGAGGTTGTGAGGTTGATTGGCTTCAGTATTGCATATTGTCTGCTCAAGCCTCCATATTATCTAGCATGTGAGAAGACATTTCAGCAGGGCAGTTGGGATGAATAGATCTAACATCAATCTGTGAAACATCAGTATCATTCATGCCAGATTCTGTTATACTTTTGATGTGAGGGAAGCAGGCTTGAGCAGAAATGGTGGAAAATTGTTTGAACACTGAGAATCTCACTCCAATAACCTGTAACTGCTGGTTCTTTAATTGCATTATCTGGCTTGGTGTCAATATTTTACTTCTTAACGTTCCTGTGAAGCACCTTGGGAATTTTATTACATTATGGGAACTATATAAATGCAAGTTGCTGTTGTTCTAAGGATGGCACAACTACAGTATACTGCATCATGCCATCACAGATACAGCCATAGTGATAAAGTCAGTAAAAACAGAAAGAACTACAGATGCTGTAAATCAAGAACAAAAACAGAAGTTGCTGGAAAAGTTAGCAGGTCTGGCAGCATCTGTGAAGAAAAATCAGAAGTTAATGTTTTGGGTCCAGTGACCCTTCCTCATTTGCTGCCAGACCTGCTGAGCTTTTCCAGCAACTTCTGTGTGTGTGAGAGAATCAATTATTGTGTTGCAAGAAAGCAAACAAGCACAGGCAAATTCACAGTAATTATTCCAGAGCAATTGAAAGCTGTACAGGTTTCTGTATAAAATCAAGATAAATAATGAATAGGCACCCTCATCTGTAGTCACCTTTCCTGTCTTTTGCAGCTTGCATCATTTTCAGCCATTAAAACTGATGGCTGGAAAATTCAGCTGACCATGAGGACCTGATGGCATCAATACCTTAATGACTGATACATATTGTGGTGCCATGAAGCTCTGCTTCACAACTACAATATTGTAAAATTTATCTCAGATCCAATATAAAAACTGAAATGGGATTTTACCTCCAAAGAAACCTACCATCATAGAATGATTAATTTAGTCTCTCTATACTTTTGCAGAAATTGCATCTAATGTCTGCTGCATACTACCTATTGAAATTAAATTACTGTAACAGGATGCATATTATAGTATACCATTACAACAGAGTGTTTTAAAGCGCTTCAGAAATAATGAATTATTAATCTTAGTGTGCATTGACTGTTATGGAGACAAATCATATGTCAATATGTTCATAGTTACCATACTATTTTAGCAAAATATTGGGTCAAATTAGAATGATTGATATTAGAAACATGTATGTTTAAAATTACTTCAATATTACTCAAACAAATCATTCACTTGTTATTTTAAACAAATATTACATCATATGATTCCTACTATTGTTGCTTGGATACACCGAAAGTAAAATTATTAGCCCCCGAAATGGTGAAACATTGCTGATTGCCCCAATTATTCTGCAGGCTGAGCATGCACCACTTTGTCAACAGCATTATTAAAGATTCAAATACCCATCCTGGCTACTGTTCAATGAGCTGGGACACCCCTGCCAGACTGGGTCTGTACCCGAGGAAGTGAGCAAACCAAGAGGGAAAAACCGACTTGACCCTGCCCTCACAAATCTACCTACCACAAATGCCTTTGTCCATATAATATTGGTAGGAGTGACCACCACACAGTCCTTGCGGAAACATTATTTTTCCACGTGGAGGTTACCATTCATCATGTTGTGTAGCACTACCACTGTGATAAGTGGGATAGACTGAAAACAGATGTAGCAGCTCGAAATTGGTTATACGTTATTGCTATGGATTATATAGCAACAACAGAATTTTATTCAATCACAATCTGTAGTCTCTTGACTTGGCATGTTCCTCACTCAATCATTACCATCAAGCTGAAAGATCAAACATGGTTTGGCACACATAAAGCTAATGAAGCTACATCACAGGACTACATGCAAGCTTAACAGTAAAATAGTATCTGATATACAGAGCTAAACAATCCCGCAACGAATGGATCAGATCAAAACTCTGGTGCACTATCATATCTAATCATAAATGGTGGTGGACAATTAAAGAACTAAATGAGGGAAGAGGTTCCACAGAAATCCCCGTCCTCAGTGATGGGATAGCCCACCACACTGGTGCAATTGACAAAGCTGAAGCATTTGCAACCATGATTAGCCAGAAGTAACAAGTTGATGATGCATCTCACCCTCTTCATGAGGTCCTCATTATCACAGATGTCAATCTTCAGAAATTCGATTCACTCTGTATGATGTAAAGAAATGGCTCAACACACTGCATATAGCAAAGGTTATAATCCAAGAATAGTATTCTGGCTGTAGTATTAAAGAATTATGCTCCAAATCTAGCTACACTTTAACCAAGCTGATCTAGTATAGTCACTGCACTGCCATTAACTCAAGTGTGTCTTGAAAACTAAAAACAAGGGAAATCCAAGTGGGCCAATTACCATGCCTTTCAATCAGCATCACAATGACAGAAGATGTCATTCACAGTGCTATCAGGTAGGTGGCACATACTCAGCAATAAGCTGTTCAAGGATGATAATTTTGAGTCCAGCACTGTCAGTCAGCTCCAGACCCCATTTCACTCTTGGGCCAAATACTGACAAAAGATCTGAATTCAAAAGGTAAGGTGAAAGCAAATGCCCTTGATTTCAAGGTGGAACTTGAAAGAGAGCGGCATCAAGGGATCCTAGCATAACTGAATTTATTGGGAATTCTAGGAAAGCTCCCCATAGTGTGAAATAAAGCACAAAAGAAGCTAGTTGTGGTTTCTGGAGGTCAACTCTTTCTGGCCCATGACACCTTTGTAGGGGTTTCTCAGGTCAGCATTCTAGGCCCAACCATCTTTAGCTCCTTCACCAGTGACCTTCCCTCCATCATTACGTCAGAGGTGGGTTGCTGACTGATGGATGCACGGTGTCATTTGCAACTCCTTAGATACTGAAACAATTCAGATACAATAACACGGTGTTGCAATTAATTGCCACTGTCTTTTTTTGTCAATGAAACACTTGTTTAAAATGTAGGTGATCATCTGGGGACTTGTGTTGTTTTCATTTAGTGCATGCAGTTTTCAGTAATATAAACTTTCCATTCTTCACACAGAAAGTTAGACATGAGATAGTAGGAACTGCAGATGCTGGAGAATCTGAGATAACAAGGTGTAGAGCTGGATGAACACAGCAGGCCAAGCAGCATCAGTGGAGCAGGAAGGCTGACATTTCGGGCCTAGACCCTTCTTCAGAAATTCAGAAGTTATACATATTTTGCTTTTGTGTTGCTGTACCTCATCTAATGTTCATGTATATACTGGAGCAAGAATACTTCTGTTTAAACATGTTGAAAGCCAATACCTCATGCCCAAATTCTGCAAGACCTGGACAACATTCAGGCTTGATAAATAACAAATAACATTTGGATCATACAAATGCCAGATAATGGTTATTTTCAACAGGAGAAACTGTAACCATTTCCCCTTGCTGTTCAATATCACTGCTATTGCTGAATCCTCCAATATCAGTATCCTTGGAGTTATCACATAGCAGAAACTTAATCGGACCTGTCACATAGTTACTGTGGCTAAAACAGCAGGTGAAAGATTGGAAACTCACTTCCTTGTTCTCTAAAATATGTCCACCATCTACAAGGTCAAAGTCAGAAGTGCAAGGGATTACCTTTCATTTGGCTGGATGAATGCAATGGAGGTAACATGCAAGATTCTTCTCACCATCCAGGACGACTGAACTATTCACTTCCTCCATCACCACCACACAGTGGCATCCTGACAGAGCTTTATCAGAGCTCCTTTACTGTTGCTGGATTAAAATCTTATAATAACCCCATTCCTGAAAACATTATAGTTGTAACCTAAAGAAGGTTAATTCACAAGGAAAATTAGGGAGCAACAATATTGCTGTTGTTGCTCAGATCCCAGTAATGGATGAAGAATTTATAAAACTTATGAGTTGAAAGAATGCCAGTTTTTTCAGAAGCACCGCACACTTAATGTGAGAATTTTTGTTTTGCATTTTGTCCATTTATGTGGGTGAGTTAAGATGGGAAATTGATGAAATGTAGGCCTATTCCATTGGGTCTGTTGCCTTTGTGACATCTAGCAATCTTCCAGCATTATTAAATATAGAAGCAGTAAATCATGACATTTCTGTCATCATGAGTATAATATTACAAATATCCTATTTAGTAATCTGAATGAATGACCTGCTTTCCAACATTTAGACAGTAGTATTTTGTTATCGCTACTGTGTATACATTAACCTATAAGTGTTTTAGCAACACAAAAACAAAATATACATAACTGTCACAATTAGTAAAATGGAAAATCTATATACAGAAGACTGCAGGTAGTAAATGAAAACTGCACATATCCCCAGAGGACCATCTACATTTTTGGCAAGAGTGTAATGAACTGGGATGAAAATGACAATGGCAATTAATTGCAACACTGTGTTGCTGCTTACCGGTACCAGTGGTCACAACTATGAATGGATGATTTTCAAGCCTAGATAAAGATTACTATCAATTAATAATACTTCAAATATCAGGTTAAGGCATATTTTTAATACAAATCTTATTTAGTTAAAAATTGTGGAATATTTTGAGAATAGTGCAGCCACATAAATAACAATCATCCATTTTGGCAAAAAGTGCTGATTTTTCTTGTCCTTATCAAATGAAACCTAGCAAGATAGATTTTTTAAAAAAAAACACACTAATCATCCCGTTTTGAATTTATAAATGAATATACAGCATTCTGTATATTGCAGAATTTTGCCATCTTGCTCACTTGGGCAGTGACAATCAATTATATCTGTCCCGTACCTAACAAGTACAAGATAGATTTCCTGCCCTTCCAATTCTTTCCTTAAAAACGTGCAGGGCCCAAATATCCCTTCCAAGTGCAATAGCAATATACTTGTATTTCTTCCAAGTGTAGATACTGGCGTAATAGTAAACCCCCGGGTTTTCTGCTGCTATATTTTTGTAATGTAGGAGCTTCCTTCTGACAAATTTTCCATGCCTCTCTCCTTCATTTCTGCTATGACCATTTACACCTCCTCTCGACTATTGTTTGATTTTATATTTGTGTCATTAGCACCTCCTTTAGGCTTATAGCACAATCGCTTTTGTTATTTAATCACTCCTGCCGTCCACATTATCACATAGATCTTTCCCTTTTGTTTTATGTCGTCTTTAACCTGGTTTTGCATTTGCATAGCAACTTTACCAATCTCCAATCTGAAACATGAATGAAATAACCAGAACACTCTGGGAAAATTGAAGTTCCCTCTGTCGCCTGACCTGCTGAGTGTGTTTCCAGTACTTTCTCCTTTTAAATTCAGAATTCGAGCATCCCCCAAAATAGTTTGTGCACTTTTATTCTCCCGTCCGGTTTGCTAATTTTCAAACTCTGGCCGTCTGATGGAGGCTCCAAACCTGCATCCTTAAATTTGTTCTCTGCACAAGATGCCTGTTGCCAACATTTTCTCTGTCTTGCAGCTCTGAAACAACAAAAAAAGGCTAGCTGAAACCTGTCCACAGATGCTCCTTTGACCTGCTGAATATCGGCAGCATGCTGTGTTTTAGTTTCAATGTACTGGCAGTAAATGTACTTTGTTGATTTTTTGAAATCAGACCGATCAGTCACTAGGAGAACCACCTGAGCAAAGCAGTGTACAAGCTTCCGGATACAGAGCGCGCATGTATGTATATGCATGCATCCTTTATATTGGCGGGTGTGCGCGCACGCATCAGGCTTGGGGGAATGTGCTTTGCGGTAACGTTACGTGCTCTGGCCCGTGGTCGGGGGCGCGTCGGCGTTGCCGCGCAGGTCGCTCGCTCCCTTGCTCACTGAGTGTTGGGCTCGCGGGCGATGGCAGCCGGATACATTGTTACTCTGGAGTTGTAATGAAGTTCTACTGGAAGTTTTTATCCTGGACAGCCCTGGTGAATAAGAGCCTGCAACCGAAGCTCGAAAATGGCTGCAAATAAGGGGAAGAAAGTTACGAAAATGGCAACGAAAGCATGTCCGGAATGTGACCAACAGGTGGGATATCTCAGACGGGAAACATTTGTCTATATTTCACATTCAGTTCGCGTTTATCGGTGAGGATCGAGCCTTTCTTTGTGTGGTTTGATAGGCTGCATTATTGAGGTTGTCTTTTTGAAGCATCATTCACAAGCATTGGCCTAAGATTTTCGATTTTTATGCGTGACCTCGTTACTGACATGACTTTGTTTTAATTTCTTTAAAAAAACCCTACACCTTGGATTGCCATTGGACCTTCCAACAGGCTTTTGGCGTGGATAATATTGCATAATATCAGCTTTCACTACCCCCCCCCCCCCCACCGGCCGTCTTACAATATGGTCACGTATTCTATTTGAAGATGTAAGACAATAAAATGATGGCATTTGAGCTGGAAATGACTGTGGAAGACAGCCTTGAGCAAATGTCTTTCATCTGAAAGTGATTAGCATGCTTTGGCGTCAGCCGAATAACAGAATTGCAAAATTACATATTACTTCCACGTTGATAGCCGAGTTCTAAGTCTGCTATTCACACAGCCGTAAATAAACTTTGAATGGGGACATTAGACATTTTTCAGACTTTCTTGAACGTAGTATTTAATCTTTGTTGTCATGTGGCATATGCATTGCGGATAGTTTCTCATAAACATGAATGCGGCTAAAGTGCTGACGAGTTGCCAAAGGCTTAATCACAACGGAGACAGTCATGGGTTTATGCCGTGACTTTCAAAATACATTATTTTGAACGTTGATTGTAAATTGTGCGGCCGTTTAGTATTCAGATCTTGGGGACTTAAGCTTATTAACTCTGTCATTAATGCAGTTTGATTGTGTTGGCGCTTTACAGTAATTTCATGAGGGACGGGCGCCAGTTCTTAGAAACATTTGCGTAAGAGATGTCAGTCCGTCATCAAAAGGAAAATGCAAAAGACTGCATTCTTGGCAAACTGCCTTGCCCACTATGTAATCTTTCTAACATTAGAAATTTTGAATAATTTTTAATGAATTGGTGCTATATAATATTTCTAGAGAGTTATGTATCAAAAAGTACCAGAATTGAATGGTTTAGCGAATTGTGTGGATGCGATTGAAAAGAAAATTCTTAGCGACAAACCACTACACGTAAACGTATTCATATCCCCTGTGATTAAAATGTTTACAGTGATGGACTGCAGAAAATCGCCATTTAATTTCAACTGTTTAATTTTTCAGATTCCTGTTGCCTGTAAGTCATGCCCGTGTGGATTCATTTTTATTAGTAGAAGACTACTGAATGCTAAACTGTCTGAGAAATCACCACCACCTAATTTAGGTAAATCATGATTAAAACCCCATCAGTTTACAAAGCTAAATAACTGTATGGGGTAGGGAGCAAAGGAATGAGTAAGCAACGCAAATTTACATCAGTTCATGAATCACAAATTGGCTTCTGTTTCTGTTGCATTGTCATTTTGAAACATAATGGCACAGAAATTCTTTAGCAAAGGTTTGATCAAAGCATAATGTATCATTTTGCTGGTAAGGTGTAGCTGTAATTTTTAAGATTTCTGTCTCTGATCTGTGACCTAAATAGACACTTAAATTTACTTATTGTTTAATCAGATAATTTAACAAATTTTGTTAGAAACCAACTAAGTGTGCCTTGGAAGTGCCCAGCTAGTATATCATGGTTTTGTATGTCTGGTTATGATATTGTTATGATTGTTTGTTTGTTTGTTTGTTTATTATGATTGAATCTCCAGTAGTATTGCTTATCGCTACTTTATTATCTATTTCATAATGTATTGATAATATGTAATGAATATCATTGTAATGTTTTGTTTATAATGAAACTTGCGGTAACAAAGTATGATTTTTTTTTCAATTAAGTAGAAACTTGGTCATTCACTGCCTCCCTTTCAACAGCATTTGAACACAATGGGTCAGTTTACACAGGTACACTGAGAACACCTTTGTCTATTGTCCATGACCCCTTTCAACTGCTCTACTGTCTCTGTATTCAGACTACTTAATCATATGCAGTCCTGGATTAGACACAGTTTCCTCCAGTTAAGCACCTGAAAGATCAAAGCCATTGTCTTTAGCTTCTATCATAATCTCCAACTTTACCACATTTTATAGCCCACACTTCAGCAACCACCTTGGACTGTTTGCAAGCTTGCTTTTGCAGTTTAACCATGTGTTAGGCTGATTACCATGCTCTATCTCAACACCCCCAGTTTCAGACCACCTCCTATCTCTGATTTGCTATTGAAGTCCTTGCAATGTTTTTACACCTCTAGACTTAGCTATTCCATTTCCCTAATGGGGGCTCCGAGAATCATCGTCCATAAAAGACTGAAAACCCTGTCAGTCGTCTGTATTCTGTTTCATATCAAGTCTTCCTCATTCCTTAATTCCAAGCTTGCTAGTCTAATTGCTGTAAATCCCAATGCTAACAATTTTAAAATTCTCGTCCTGGTGTATAAACCTTTCATTGAATTCCTCATGAACGTTTTCAGTACCACAGTCATTTTAAGTATTTTGCATTCCTCCATCTCTTGCCTCCCGTGCATCCCATTCTTTTGCCCCACCATTGACAACCATGCCTTTCGATAGCTGGAGTGTTCTTTTCTGAATCTTTCCAGTACCCTTTAAGACTTCCTTCAAACTTAGATTTGACAGAGATTTTAGACGGTCATCTTAATATCTCCTACATTGGGTGGTTTTATGATTGCTGTTGTATGATTGATAAATATTCTGAATGGTTGATTCTTAAGTTAACATTAAAGATGCTTTCCAAAAGTGCAAGTTGTTTATCAAGGAATGTTTGAGTTTTTAAAGTGTTAGTTGGTTTCAGTTTCCAGTCAATGCATCCAACACTAAGATACCTCATTCTGTCCATTAATTGTATAATTTGTTTCTGTTTATTTAAAGGTTTGTTTGCAATATGATGTATGCTGTGTGCCTACAGGTTCTTAGAAATTGATAATGGATCTCAGTGTTGCTTGTCAATTTGATGATTTCTATTACAATAATATCATGCATTGTAGGGTTTGTTGTTCTGCTAAGGCGGAAGTGTTTTCAGTTACCTGTTTCTTTAAAGAACTAATTCTTTTAAGTCTAGCTCACTCAGAATGTTTGAATCATGTAACTTTGAAAAAATCTGAAAGCATTGGTAATCTTCCATTTCAGAAAGAGTGTACCACCATAAGAATAACCCTGTTTTTTTTCTCAAAAATGTTTTGCATCTCAGTAAGTGGTGCAACATCTTGTATTCACTGCTGTAGTTTGTCTCTGACTAATTCACCCACTTATGCATGTGTTTTCCTTGTCTGTCCTGTTACACATTCATTCTCCAACTCTTTTTGTTCTAGTCATGAATGGAAAGTAAGACAAGTGGTGAACAGGACTAATCAGCGACATTTCAGACTGTTCCAAATCACCTTGTTATGGTGCCTATTTTCAGCTCTACATCTATTGGCGCAGTACAGCACCAAATGTAAAAGTAAATTGGGAGGATCATAGTGGAAGGTTGATGGAGCACTGCGCTCCTTTAATCAGTGCAGCACAGTTGAAATAAACCTAAAAGTTTCAATAAGGACTGAAAGAACAGAGAATTACATTTGAGACCATAACACTAAAATGTCTTATGACCTAATCAGCATTTGTTAATCCTATTCACGGTGTTCCTAATCTTATGTCTCCCCTTTCTCGTTCCTTTTAATTCTTCTTTCATTCAACTACCTACACAACCAACTTTTGAAAATGTTGATAGAGTCTTGACTTTGATTACTAAAACTGGCAATGTGTTCCAGTTTCACAACCCTCTACAAAGGAAGCTTGTCCTTTTTTTGTCCTTCAACGTACACCTCTTTGCCAATGAGGTTTTGCTCTATTCATACCTGAGATTGGGGGTGGGAAGGTAATCTTATGAGCAATGTTGATTAGGCTAGGCTTATATCCATTGGAGTTTAGAAGAATAAGAGCTGATCTTATTGAAACAATATGGAAGGCTCTGAAAGGACTTGACAGGGTGAATGCTGGAAGGATGTTTTCCTTTTGTGGGAGAAACTAGCATAAGGAACATGTTTTAGTAACATAAAGTCTCCAGCTTAAGATGGAGATGAGAATTTTTCTTTTTATTGTGGTTTCCAAGTCTTTAGAATTCTGTCCTCTGGAGACCAATGGAGGCAGGGTCGTTGATCACTTGATTTAAGGTAGAGGTAGGTTCTTGATTAACAAGAAAGTTGTTTTTTAGGAGTGGGTGAGAACATTGCTAAGGCTGGAATCCAATTACACATGATTTTATTGAATGGTGGAGCAGCGTAGAAGGGCCAAATGATCTGTTTCAAATTCAAATATTGGTAGCCTTATTCTAGATCCCTCTACATTACTGCAAAAGACTTTTCTCAAATACCTTTTATCAAATTGAGCCTTAATCTCTTCTTCTAACAGAAATGGCTTTCATTTTTCAAACATTTTCTTCCATGTTTGTATTTCTTCATGCTAAAATTATCTTGGTGTACTTGTGCTGTCTCCTTTTTTCTTACCACAATATCCTCCTTATTCGTGCAGCATTTAGAGCTGTACATTCACATTTTATCTAGCTATAGCCCGTTAATTTGGAAATGCCTAGTTGCTGCTTCAGTGTCATAACCAGTATACTACTCCATGCTAGCAATGGAAAAGGTGAGTTTAATTATTTATGAGCTTTTCTTTCCATATTCTTTTTGATTCTTTGAAATTGTCCCTGTTTCACAATGCTTGAATCATTTTGCTAAGCTATAAGATACATGCGTTTACCATTTTTAATCTGGACTTCAGTATTGTGAAGGATAGAGGCCAGTACGGGGAATTTAACATTTGAGTCTGCAGATGACAAAGGCATGAATGAGGATTTCAGCTGTGGAATGGCTGAGATTGCACTAAACTATGTAATTGCAATCTCTTTGATTAGAAAGACCTAGAGGATGATGTAAGAGCTGATAATTTCCAAAATTTCTTTACTTGGATTAGAAGAAAGGAAACTTAATGTGATTAACTATGGGAACCTCTGCCCATTTTTAAAGATTCATTCACTGGATGTAGGTGTGGCTAGCTTTGCCAGCATTTATTATCCATGCCTAACTGCCCCACAGGACAGTTAAGAGTCAACCACATTGCTGTGGATCTGGAGTCACGTGTAGACGAGACCAGGTTTGGACAGTCTTCCCTAAAGGACATTAGTGAACCACATAGATTTTTCTGACAATTGATAATGATTTCATGGTCATCATCAGACTCTTCATTCAAGAATATAAAAAAAATTCAAATTTCTTCATCTGCCACAGAGGGATTTGAACTCAGGTCCTCAGAACATTACCTGGGTCTCTGAATTAATAGTTGAGCAATAATACTACTAGGTCATCATCTCCCCTTGCCTAGTGAAATGACATCAAGAAATCTTATTTTTTTTTAGTGAAAGTCCTCAGATGACTTCTGGCAAATAACCTGGGTTGTGGCATAATATAATGGAAGAAGGCAATAGTGTTTACTGATCCTTCTCCAGGTGATGTCCAAAAAATTATGCCTACTTGTCCAATTGCTTCAGATGTGACCTACTGACAAAAGTAATTATTATCTGTTACTTGTGTGGTAGAAAGTCACAGTCCATTGACTCAATGGAATTAATTACTATTAATAATTAGAAGGATAGATGCCTATGTCTGAACAAGTTTGATTGTGTGGTAGTATTTTGGTCTCAATCACAGTCTTGCTCCTCAAAATGGTCTTGGATGTTCCTTTTTAAAGTTCCATTAATCTCTCAACTTCTTTTATTTGAAGATAGGATAATGTTTAGTAAACTTTATTGCATGCAAACAGCAAGGAAGCTGTCACTTTGCGGTAAGGATTAGTTTCTTTTTGAGGCGAGATATGACATGTATCTTTTTGGTATTCTTGGCCACCTTGTAGATTATTAATTTAGAATAGAAATTTAACTACTTGAATGCAAGGCAGATACTTTTATGGTATGACGCTATGAATACTACTTTCTTTGGTAGCCTGCTTTATGCTACAAGTAACAATGAACAATGCAAAAAGTACCAATACCTTCATGTGTTCCTTCGGGTACTGTAAACCATGTGACATTTTTGTGCATTTTTTTACTTGGTTGGCCTGATTCACTTTGATTGCTAAATATGACTTGTTTATTATGTAGAAGCCTGTGTCATTACTAAATACTCATGGACAGTTTTTACCCGGAGCCCTTTTTAGGACCTTCACTGTGCACTTCCTTGTATGTTGTAATACTTTTAAATGGGGCTATTTTGTCCTGTTTTATATATCAGTTATGACCATTCATTTGCATACCTGGATAAATGTTGTAGTGTAATATGATCATAGACACCTTTCTGGGAAGTTAGAATGATTTTAGTTCAAGATTTGAGCTCTTAAAGTATAGCACTTGAGGAAAAACTAAGTGTTTTCAAGTGGTAAGGTTAGAGGATGCAATAATTAGACCAGGATGTGCAGATGTTTTTAAGTCACATTTTAAGGTTATACATAGAACCTTTATTCTGTTTGCATTACAAATATTTTGCGCCCACTTTATTCGGAAAAGGCTATGTAGCTTGAAATGTTGTAGTTTCAACCTCCTGCCAATGTTGGTGCTCTGTATTAAGGCAAGGTGGTGTTTACAGTGTGACAAGTTTAGCAAGACATACCCATTAGATGTGCAACCAAAAAGGCAGGAGATGTACATAACTGTAATTTTTGAGATGTACAGATTATTATATATAGTTTAAATTACTGCAGTAAAGCTGCTCTGGCAAATATATTATCCAAAAGTGCAGGGCAGGCAATGTTAATCAGTCATTTGAATTTGATTTATTTGGGAATGGGACAAAGTGTGCAGGGTTCAAATAATCATTTCTTCAGTCTTCTGTTTCCTTACTTCCTTTTTTATAGCCTATTTTAACAAGATTATGGTGAATGAGATTCTAATCTTGTATTTGAAATTTAAATTGAAATTCTAAACAGGAATGTGATTATCCTGTCGCAGGATGTGGTTGTCTCTGGTTGAGGCAACATTTCTTGTTAATTCTGGTTGCCCTTGAGAACATAGTATTGCGGTTGTCGCGGTGTAGGGACACCCATAGTGATATTATTTAGGGAGTTCTACAATTTTAAACTCCTGTGTAGTGAAGGCATGGTAACGTAGTTCCATGTTCGCATGCTGTGTGACTTGGAGAAGAACTTGCAGTGGTGGTGTTACAATGTATCTGCTATCATTGTCATTTTAGGTGGTAGAGGTTATGGGTTCGGAAATGCTTGGCCAATTTCTGCAGTGCATGTTGTAGATGATACACTGCTACTACTGTGCGTTAGTGATGGAGAGAGTACATATTGAAGGCAGTAGATGGGGTGCCAATCAAATGGGCTGCTTTGTCCTGTATGGTATTAAACATTTTTGGAGCTGCATTCATCCAGCCAAGTGGAAAGTAATAAATCACTTCCCTCAAAGATGGTAGTCAGGCGGTGAGTTGATGCAGGATTCATGGCCTCTGACCTGCGTTTGGTAGTCACAGTATATTTGTATGATTGTATTCACAGCCTGTTTCAAATAATTACTACTGTTGGATTTGCAAGCTGGAGGCAGAGTTGAATTCAACATATTAATAGGAATAAACAGGGTAGATAAAGATGAAATGTTTCAATTTGTTGGGGATTCTAGAACTAGGAGGCATAGTTTAAAATTAGGACCAGACCATTCAGGAGAGAAATTAGGAAACAATTCTGCACAAAAGGTGGTAGACATTTGGAACTCTTACACAAATTGCAATGGATGCTAGATCAGTTGTTTTTCTTTTAAAATCTGATAGAGATTTTTGTTAAGCAAAGTATTAAAAGATATGGGCCAAAGGAAGGTATGTGGAGTTAGATTACAGATCAGTCATGATCTTATTGAATGGCAGAACAGGCTCAAGGGGCTGAATGACCTTCTTCTGTTCCTACGTATGATTGATCCTAACTGGGCAGCTTTAGTTTTGGAAACGACTTGAATCTAATATGTGACTGTCGCTTTATGTGCCCCATTTTAGTGGAATGTAAGTATTAGGCTATTGTCAAACAACAGGTTTGGTAGGATTTAACAAACCTTTATTTTGTGATAGACAGCAAATCAGCAGCTAAAAGAAGGAGAACAGAGAGGGCTCGGCGAGAGAAGGCAAATTCTCCTCTAACTAAAGACCTGGAAAACAGGAAACGTTCCAGATCAGACAGCCAATCTGAGCAAATTCGGCGGCGACGAGGACGACCCAAGACCACCCCTAGCAAGAAACATGATGATGAGAAAGGTGAAAATACTTGTGATTCCGATGTTTGAATGGTGGGTTGGGGTGAGGATTGAGCTTTACCAATCAGTTCTAAATTTTTGGTGTGGAAAGCATCAGAATTTATAGTGGATATGCTATTATTGGTAGTTTGGGTGGGTGGCATAATTTTGCCCCTTATATGAATAGAATCTTTTTTTAAATGTATATTCTTCTTTCAGTCTTCTTCCTGTACTGAAATGATCAACTTATGTTGGCCCATGTATTGATGCGAATCAGTTGCGTTCTAGAACCTTCTTCATTAATGATTGGGTCTTAACAGTATCAGATGATAATTTTGAATGAAGAGGGTGAGGGACATCAGAGACAAATTGATCTGTCTTCAGATATTCACAGACACATTTTTCAGCAGGAGTCACTGGATAATAATCAAGAATGAGAACGTTGGCTGATTTTTTTTAAATATAGATTTTTTTGAGCATTTGTAGTTTCTTTTAGAATTAAAGGACAAGTACAGAAACTCATTTCTGCAGAAGAATCCTACTGGACTTGAAACGTTAACTATTTCACTCTCTACAGATCTGCTGAGTTTCCCCAGCATTCTGTTTTTAGCTAGTGTCTGCAATAGTTTGCTTTTAAGTGGCATGTGTTTTTGTTATGCTGATGATGACTGACTAGTTAGATTTTTTTAACTTTAGATCAATAATGTACTTGATTGTTGACACACATATGGCTTTTGAGAGCTGGGAGTCAACATTAAATATTTATTTATTTTAGAAACAAATAATCTGTATTGGTAGAACTGGATATAACAGTTTTCATGTCTGGAAAGATTGGAAAAACATGGGTTTTTGTTTATCAGATTTTTATTTCTAATCTGAGACTGCCTGGTATGTTTATGCCAAGATAAATGTTGAGTTGCACTTGTATCAGTGAAAACTGCTGAAATTTTGTTTTTATTTATTCATTTGGCATAGACATTGCTGGCTAAGCCACCATTTATTGTCCATCCCTAATTGCTCAGAGGGTAACTAATCACAATGGTGTGTGGCTGGAGTTACATATAGGCCAGAGCAGGTAAAGATGGCATAATTCCTTCCCTAAGGGATATTAGTGAATTACATGGATTTTTACAACAGTTGACAATGGTTAAATTTCACCAGCTGCCATGATGTTAATTTGAGCCCACTTTTTCAAAACTTTAGCGTGGCGCTCTGAATGACTTGTCCAATGACATTACTACTACACACTGCCTCCTCCAAAATTCATTGCCATTGTGTACAGGTTTTTTTAATGACTGTAATGCATTTCAGTTTTGATTTATTTAAGAGGTGTTTTTCACTTCCAACAAAAATGAAGATCAAGTGATTTGGCAATTCTGAAAACCACTCCCTGTCCTTTGTTTGATTTTTCTGTTTTTCCAAACTGTTTATAAAAACGAATGTGTGATAATTACACGTGGCTTCCTTTCTCTACTAATTAATGGGTTAGTAAAAGTTCAAACTTTGTGCCAACACTTTTCCTCTTGTGAAAGGTCTGCATCCATTCACCTTTCTTCTCTATTATTGTGGTGAAACAGTTGGTCTCTGCTTGGTGATGCCATGATGGTTTCTATGGAAAGTTACAGGGATCTATTTTTTTTTAAAAAAACAATTGCAAAACAAACTTGCAGTCAAAAGTACACACATCACATTACTATTAAACAATTTAAATGCATACCTCTGTGCCAAGCAGTAGTTGACAGAACTAGCCCACTCTTGCAATAGGGATGTCGTTGAAAAGCCATGTAAAAATATTGGATCTTTGGACGTTCTCTGAATAGTCACATACCATCAGTACCTCCTGTATCCTGTGGTAACATGATCCCATCTTTTCAAAAGAATTCACATTGTGCTCTGAGTAAATTAGCATTAATACCAGCCCTCAAAGGCACCTGCATGTGTGTATATTCGCACATGATAAAGTTTACACGTTTTTTGTTCACAAAAATGACCTCCTTTTAGACATGCAGATTGACCCAATAAAAATGATCATACTGAAATCTTAAGCAGTGAAAATGTTAATAAATCCTAAAGCAGCATTTGAAGTTTCTTTTGGTATTTTTAAAATGGCATTGAATGTTTTCTGTTTTTAAAAAAATTGGTTTACACACGAAGGAGTTTTGGTATTGCGGATGTGCAATAACATTTACAGAGATGCAATTAGGATGGAAAACATCTAGCATGCTGCAAAACATTAGTCATTTTTTAGTGCTGATTCTCGGGTACATTGAGGTAACTTTGCAGCTGAAGTATAACAAAAACATCATGGTCAAGCAAAACATGAGGCCCCAGTTGATACCGCTATTAATGTATGTGCACACTGTGGAATTGTATAATGCTGCATGTAGTATTACTTTTCCCAAAGCAGTGCCAAGAGAATGTATGATCCTAACCACATACTAGTACTAGGATTTTGTTTGCTGTTTATTTCCTTTTAATGAAACCAGAGAACGTTTTCTTTTCCAAAGTTACAGATGGGAAAAGAAAGAGCAGTTTTTTTTGGAAGTTTCCCACACTGATTGAATTCACAATTGGCCTTCTTTTCTCCCCCACGTAGCTGGTAGAAAACTTTTCTGGCAGTCTGGTTGTTAATAATGTGATTTTGTACCCGTTCTGGAAGGGTGGGGTTAGATGAAGAAGTTGATAAATTAGGATTTAGATTGTTAGAGAAACTGCATTCCTTTGGACTTGATCATGACTTATTTTAGTGTGTTATTTCTTTTACAGAAAGGCAAGAAAAGGAAGTTGATGTATATGCCAGTCTTTCAGATGAAAGAGCCTTTGTATTTTCAGTGGCATTGGCAGAAATAAACAGAAAAATAATCAATCAAAAATTAATTCTTTGACAAAGTGTGCTAAAGTGAAATACAACCACAACTCAGGACTCAACTTTTGCACGGTTGTTTCACCAATTCGAATCTTGTATTGTGACATTTCCCAGCATTATTGTGGATGCCTGAATCATGTAGTCAGATTCTGCTGAATTGATAGATGATCATTTCTTAAACAAAACTTCTTGATGTCTTGGATATGGACAGATGGTGACTTGAATTCCACAAAAGTGGAAGAAAACAATTCCTTTCCTAAATCTCAAGATACTTTGTAAAGAAATAATAATGCTGCATTGAACGGAGGTGTAGATCGTTGCATCAATCAAGAAAGAGGTGAAAGCCTTGCTTCCCCAATCAATTTCATCAACTGAACAAGTTAAGCCGGAAAAAGGAACCAAAGCTGTTCCCCTGGTGTATTTACAAGAGTGTAGAAATGGTTTATTCCTGATCCAAATGCAGATTTCTTTCTGTATTTTACTTTATTTATGACATTGATTTCTTACAGGTATTCTCTATTCTGGTCTGTGTAATTAGTCTAAACACTGCAAAAATGATCATAAAATACTACAATAAAAAAGCGTTAAGTTTCATATACCTTAATTTGTCTAATTCCAATTTTCAGTAGACATATATTTTGATTAATTTTGATTCTAATTTTACATCTCAGCATAAACCAAGTCCAGGAATGCTTTACATATGCTCTGACAATTTTTGAAAGCTTCACATTTAATTGGTTTTCCTATATAATAAATAGATTCATTTATGTATAATATAAGTGTATGTGAAATGATTAGCCTATTGGCACAAATATTGAAGTAAGAATCCCCATTACGGACTGAATTTTTTATTCATATGTTCAATCATATCTCCTTCGCAGAGATGTTTAAGTACTTATCTGGTTACCCTTGCACCCAAGATACGTGTATTTCTGGTGAGATAAGTAGTTAACGTGGTCATGCTGCTGTTGTATAGCGTTATTTGTGATAGAATTTAACCAGAAGACATACAAGAGATGGCACCATATGCTTCATGAATTGTTTAAGCATTGAATTTATCTGGCCCATGCATAATATTTATAGTTGAGTATATTAAATGATCTCTATTTTATTGAATTACTGTAAACTTTAATCAAATTGCATTTCAAAAATGTTTTTGTGACATTCCCATCTAAACTGTAGTCGGAGGAGAGGATTAGTTCTTTGCAAAGGAGAATATTTAAGATTAGAGATATAGTGGTTCAGTGGTCTTGCTGGGGGAAGAACAGGTATTTTGTCAAAACTTTACATCTTGCACTCATCAAGACCATTTGCATGAAATGCCAAAGAGAAAACAAAATTATTTCTTGTACGAGTAGCGTAGTTCTTCTTATGCTCGGAATTAGTTAACAAGTGTTATCCAATCGTGGAATCATAAGTAATGTTGGCCGCTGTGGTGAGTTTTGTGTGAGTTGGTTCATTGCAGTCAATACATTACTTACCAAGTCCTGAGTATGCACAAAAAATTATATTGATAGCCAGTTTAGGATTGTCACTTGGATTCAGTGTGGTGCATTTGTTTAGAAACTATATATACAGTTCCTGTCCTCTGCAAATGCAAGGAACATGTATACGTACTGCACCATTTCAGCTCCACAAACTAGTTGACAGTCATTCTCTGTTCATTCGCAGGGCTTTGCCTTGACTAATAAGTTAACCTGCCTGGTTTAAAAGTGTAAACCAAACTTGCAGTTAACTGTCATCATTAACTAACTGGTGCATTCTGCACGGCAACACCTCTACCAGTTGTAGTGCACTTGTCAACCAAACAGCACTCCCTCCTTGTATGCGGTGTGAATATTGTTTTCACTTCAGTATTTCTGAATTGTCCTGATAAATACAGGATGAAGGGTTTTGACAAAATGTTTTATTTACAGCAATGGGACAGATTTGTTTGTAGAAGTGTTGTGACTGGATATGACTGTTGATTATTATTTTCTGCACCTGTTCATCGTCCATCTTGGCTCAATGGTTGGACTCGCCTCCGAATTAGAGGGCCTGATTTGAGGTTTAAAGCAGGATTCTGGCTGGCAGAAAATGGAATGAATGCCACCCCTCCAACCCTTCACTGGCTTTGTGAGGCATAGGCTACTTAAATCTGAATCTCGGGCACTTGTCAGCAACAGATTCAAATGTGGGACATCATAACAAAGCCAAGTTTAACTGGTCTGTATACATAGGTACTGTAACTGGTTTTATTCCTCAAATCGTTACTTAATGAAAATCAATACTCCATTGTTGTGAACTGTTCCAGGCTTATTGGACTGAACGTCAGAGTTTTTAGGAAGAAAGTTCTTTGGCAAATAAATCCCATGTTCCACAGTGTATCAGAAACTTTTGTTTTACCCACAAATCTATACCGTGGAGAACTTCGGTAATTACATTCGTTTAACATAACTGGATGCTTTAAAAGCCCATGACATCATAGTCTCCTGATTAAAAGACTTTATTGTATTGTACATGGAGTTAACACTCGGGTACACTGTTAAAACTACTCTTCCAATTTAGAAGGTTGTGTTCCTTGAGTGCATTTGATGTAACCAGTGAGCTGAATTGATCATGCCCAAGGTTTACAAGCTGGTATCAAATGTTATGATGAAAATGATGTTGTGAACTACTTTTAAAAACTTAATTTTCAAAACACTTGGAGTGGTTCTCCTAACACACTGCATTCAAAACTGAACTCTCCAGAAACAAGTGCATGTGTCTTGTAGATTGGCGTGAACATTAATTTGTCCTACTGGCAACGTATTCCAGGAAAGTGAACACATGGGTCTTTTACTTCCTAATTGCTCTGCAGAAAGTATTCTGTATAATCTGAACTACTGGGCTTTTACAACACTTAGAACACTTTTGTAATGAATGAAATATTCCTGATTGTGTTATTCTGTTCTCCTGTTGAAGTGCCTTTTTGTTAATTATCATTTAAACATAGTGTTTGAAAAAGCTGTTTGAATAAAAGTTCAATTTAGTAGGGAGTTATGATACAGGGGATTAAAACTGTTTGAGATAGGCTATTGGTCTTTTCCTGTCTGATATTTCCGTATATTCATATTCCTGTTTAAAATAGTATACTGGTACACCATGCTCTAACTATGGTTTATCAAATGATTTCCATAGGTTTGGCATTAATTCTTTTGATTGTGCACTGTCTGTCCCTATTTAGTTATCTCACAACCTGCTCTCCCAGAACATATATACTACCACATGAGTAGTGAGATCGGAGACCAAAATGGGGTAAACTCATTTTGGAAGTGACTAGCTGGGATAACCGTGAACCACATTACCAATGCCTGTTGTTTCCAAATTTTGATCACCTCATTCATTTTTACTTTTGTTATTTTGTAAATCTCAGCTGCTTGTGATGAATTCCTGTCATCATTGGACATTTTGGAATATCCATATGCTGCATCATGAAAGATTCTTCAAGATTCTGGGACGTTTTTGAAAAAGGAATGTTCTAGAAAACTAAAAATAGAACACATGCTCAACCTCTATTGGACAGTTGTGCATAGTTCCTTTACAACAGGTTATAATAGATTCTAATTTAGCATTTTTGCCATTGCTGGTTGGATCTTTTATGCACATTTAACATTACCTTTTGTTAATAATTATATTCATTTAATTTATCAAGTGGAAATCATTTTAAACTAGAACAGTTTTTTAAGAATAAAAGCTAATGACGTGCGTATACTGAGTGACTGTGTTTCGTACCTCGAGGGAAAGGGAATTTTACATTAAAATTGTTGGCCTCAATACAGGGGCCTAATCCTTGCAAACAGATTAGAGGGTGAAAGTGCTGAAGGAGGCATTGTTTCTAGAGCTGCAATACTTTGTAGTCCTGGCCAACAAAGCACTGCAGTGTTTGTATTCAATTCACATGCTGGGGCTCCTCTTAGATTCACTGTAAATTCAATGAAAAATCCCTGTTGTGGTAAATTTGTCTACTTTAATGAACACAAAATTTAGCAGAAAAATTTAAAGAATATTATTTAAAAGGAATTTTGTCTTTTCTATTTGATGGCACTTAATGTGTTGTATCTCTGGTAGTTCTAACTGATTTTTGCTTCAGAATTATGTTGAATGGGCAATTGTGAAATTGTGTTAATTATATCTAAAGTAGCACAGATTGGAATGTATGTGCAGCATCTGGAAGAATGTATACTTGCAGCTGCCTTATTTTTTTGCTAGCTTTTTGACAAGCCAACAAATTATTAACACTTTTTTTAGTAAGGAAATTTTGGTCTTAATTAACAGAATATACTCCCTAGGATAAAACACTTATAATTGGCTCATTTGAGCTGTTTCACTAAATTAAGTGAGAATTACATAAGACTTCAATGCTCAATACCTTATAAAATAAGGATTTTAAAAAAAATAATTTTCTGAATTGCTAGTTATTTCCCTAAATTCCTGCTTGTTCTCTGCAGGATAGCATATGTTAGTGTTCAAATAGGGTAGTGATACCATGTAAAAGTAATTTAAGTTAGATCCCAGATTTAGTCTCTGGGATTTGCTATCTTGTCTGTACAGCTGGGTTACTCGTGGACAAACTCAAGTCCTCATAGGAGTTATAAAAGGGAGTTATTGCTCTCTCTGCACCAATTGTAAACTGAAACATTTTCAGCTAACCTTTATCCTCCCTTGTTTGACTTAATAACAAATTTTATATTTTGTCATTTTGGTTAAGAAATTCTAAACAGCAGTTACATAGAAAAGTATTGAATCTCTTTACCAAGCAGCACACCATCTTGACTTGGAACTTTTATTGCTTTTCCTTTTACTGTCATTTGAATTAAAATCCTGGAAACCCCTGATAGCACTAGGTGTACCTCCAACACCCAGACTGCTGAGGTTCAAAAAGGTTGCTCACCAACAGCTTCTCGAAGGCTGATTGGGATAGACATGAAACGTTAATCTAGTCAGTGATCCTGTCTTCCTGTGAACAAATAAAACTCTGAAGTGAAACTTTTTTTAAAAAAAAAGGACTAAAATTGACAACCGTGGTTACTAAGTGGAATGCAAATTCTAGTAGGAAGAAAATAGTAATTAAATTGGGATGACTAAATTTTGTAATTTACAGTCTAATCAATTTAAGATTAGTTTTGAGAATATCAGAGGTAGCAAAGATGTTTATTCAAGAAATTGATAATATATAGCTAGCAGTGATTAGCTGGTGACTGCGAAAAGCAGCCTATTATGGCACATAAAATAACATCTTTCAGTTCTCCAAAATAACAGAGTAGTAAATCCAAAACTGAAAATGATTAAAATTTGTACTGTCTCAGTTACAATTAGGAGTAAATTATTTAGTGTTACAAAAATTTAACTTTCTTCTAATTCATTCCATGAAATTAATACTTTCATAAAGATATATTAAGGTTATGAATTCTTGAAACAGAGTGCCTATCAATGTAATGTGTTTAATGGCTCCCACAATCTGAAGTAAAAAGCAAGTTCCAGCAGAGATTCCGGTAGCATGACTAGGGCAAACTATTTAGTACATTACACACAAATATACTTTTCAGAAATCCCTCCTTTTTCAAAACAGTTCA